CTACTGAGCCCACGTGCCACAACTACTGAAGCCCACGTGCTCTAGGGCCCACGTGCCACAGCTACTGAGGCCGCATGCTGCAACTACTGAAGCCTGTGTGCCTAGAGCCCATGCTCCACAACAAGAGAAGCCACCACAATGAGAAGCCCACGCACTGCAACGAAGAGTAGCCCCTGCTCGCTGCAACTAGAGAAAGCCTGCACGCAGCAACGAAGACCCAACGCAGCCAAAAAAAAAAAATAATAATAATAATCATGGCCATAAGGGATGGAGGAAAAAGATTATTACCCTAATGGTAGATAAAGATTTAGAGTCTTCAAGATGTAAAAGTCTTCGAGAGCTCAAATTACACGTATAAGATGAAGAGTGATTTACTTCTTCATCAAATTCTAGGAGACCTGAATTTTTGGAAGTTGAGCTTTTAGATGGTAACAAATTTACAGAATGCATTATTTATAATCCAAGAATAAAAAAATTGTGAAGAATGAAATGAGTCATCCAGCTAATGTTCTACTCAATGCAGGGAGTCGCTATGCATGGATCCATGAAAGGTATCACATAGAGGGAGACAAGGAACTCATTCTTTTTTGAAATAGCAATTCCATTTGTACACAATTAAAATTTATAGGAATTTTTTTTTTTTAATATTGAGCCAATGTGAGCCTCAGAAAACTTTCACTGGCTAATTCTAAGACAAAGTTTACCTCTATAGTTTCTCAGCATGAGTATAACTACGAGCATAACAACTTCTGAATATTTGACAAGCTCATCAATTCCCCCTTTCAAGGAAACATGTCTAAATTCTTTTCAACAGTTTCTCACATTATATGATTTCAAGATCAATTACCATCCCATTCCCCCTCCTAGAGAAATTCTAGCTTGTATAGTAAGTGTTCTATTTCAAGATGACCAAATGAGACCGTTGCCCCTGCGATAGGTTAAAGATGGCTACAAATTCTTTACTTACTCCTCTCATTGAGAGGTGGGTCTAATTCCCCTCTCTGAATCTGGGCTGGCTTTAGTGACCTACTTCACCAACACAGTGTGGCAAAGTGACTGGGATTTCTGAGGTTTAGGTTACAAGAAGCCTTGCATCTTCCAGCAAGGTTCTTTCAGAACACTTGTTAGAACTCAGGTGCCATGATATGAGGAAACCCAAGAAGCCTCATGAAGAGTAACCTGAGGTCCCAAACCAACAGTCCAACTGAACTCCAAACCAACAGACAGAATCAACTTGTCAGTTATATAAGCAAACCATTTGGAAGTAGATACTCCGATTTACAGTCAAGCCATTTTGCCTAAATTGCACAGCTGTGAGCAATATAAACTATGCTTGTTTCAAAGCACTAAATACTGGGGGGGTGGTTATTACTCGGCAATAGATAACTGGAACCCTTTATCTTAATAATAACCCCAAATAGAAACACTGAACTCTGTCTTTGATAAAACTAGTATTAATAAATGAAGACGGGCAGATGGGAAGAAAAGATTATACCACAGAGGCTGCAGTGGAAGATACAGAAGAGAAGCAAAGTGATTTGCATTACAAAACTCCACAAAGGATCATCAGCAGAACTGCAGAAGAAACTGGGGTAGGGCTGAAAACAAGGAGACTATATACAAAGTATACTTAGCACAGCCAGACAGCTTCCTCCCCTAGTCCTGAAAAAGACATCAAGTATAGTCTCTAGAAAGTATACCAAAGGTTCTGGACTCAGGATATCTTTGTGCAGGCATCCACGGTCTTAGGTTAAGTGAAAGTCTACTCAGTAAACGAAGATCTCTAACCCGCCTTCTACAGCTTAGCTTTAGAATGTCAGCAGCAAGATTTATATTCCCAAGGCAAGGAACTGGAAGATCCATCACTAAAGAAACTGAACTACCCCAAAGGAAAGATACACAAAAACTGATATACAGAGTTTCCAATAAACCAGGTGGCCTGCCACTCCTATACCTTGCCTCCACACACATAGCTTCCATTTGGGTTTTATGTGCCTTATTCTTACATATAAATAGAAAAACAAGGATCACCAGACTTTGAGGAAAGCTTCCAACAGGAAACAGAACAGACAAAGGGGAAAAAAAAAAGAAATGCCTGGAGTATTGAAAACTTGAAGAAACGAAGTACCTTCAAAAAGATAGGATAAGCCATTTTTGGGGAAGTATAATACAAATTGCTTTTTGAAAATAAATATATGACAGTGGAAAAAATTTTAATATTAGATTATAGAAGGTAAAGTTGAGGAAATTGCATACAAAGTAAAATGAGATAAATATTAGGAGGAAAATTATAAAAAAAATTAAAATGATGGGTGTTGGAGCCCCAATATCAAAATAATGGTAATTCCAGAAAGCAAGAGTAGAGACCAAAGAGGGTAAACTGACACAGAAAAAATACAAGAATGGGGCTTCCCTGGTGGAGCAGTGGTTGAGAATCTGTCTGCCAATGCACGGGACACGGGTTCGATCCCTGGTCCGGGAAGATCCCACATGTCACAGAGCAACTAAGCCCGTGCACTACAACTACTGAACCTGTGCTCTAGAGCCCGCGAGCCACAACTACTGAGCCTGTGTGCTGCAACTACTGAAGCCCGCACACCTAGAGCCCACGCTCTGCAACAAGAGAAGCCACCACAATGAGAAACCCGCGCACGGCAACGAAGAGTAATCCCTGTTCACCGCAACTAGAGAAAGCCCGTGTGCAGCAACGAAGACCCAAGGCAGCCAAAAATAAATAAATTAAAAAAAAAAAAAAAGAATGTTTCCCCAAACTAGTGGACTCTAGGTTCACAAGTTTCCTGAGTGCCTAGCAGAATAAATATTAAAAAAGACCCATACCTCAGATAATGAATCTACAAGCTTCTACAGAAAAAACCAAAACAACCAAAAAGATTACCTATAAAGAGGGTTCAGCATGGCATTAGGTATATCACTATCAACACCAGAAGCCTGAAGATGATTGAGAAATGCCTTCCAAATTTTAAATTAAAAAATGATTTCAACTTAGAATCCTATATTCATCTAACTGATTAAGTGTGAATGAAGAATACAGCATTTTAAGAATTTTCCTTCTACTTATCCTTCCTCAGAAAGGTACCGCAGAATATGTTCAACTAAAATTAGGGAGTAAATCAAGAAAGAGCAAGATAAGGGATCCAAATCAAGAGAGAAGCAATGGCACAGAGGGCCAAGAAAACACCACATACAGACTAGAGCAGGAGCATGGGGAATCCAGAGTGATGACTCCAAGAAGAAAAACAGAAATGATATTAATTTAAGTGCACTACCAAGTGGAAAGTGATCTTGAGAAGTGTTTCACAGAGCTGGTAGAAAGAAGAGATTGAGGAAACTGTGCAAATAAAAAAATATTAATTCCAAAACAAAAAAACTTTAAGGAAAATAATCACAATACATTAGTTGGCTTAATAGAGAACAGTAGTTATACCTGTTTGGTATCCAACCACAGCATGAAAATTTAAAGCTGCACACCATCTTAGACTGATTCTACTTCAACTTGCTGATTTTATATAGATGATAAAAGGTTTTGATATGTTAAATGACATGCATTAATTAGTGCCACAAATGACAGAGGTATCAGTTATCACAAATCGGGATACTCAACCACGTATGTCTATAGATGGACATTGTTTCAGTAAATGGAATTTACCAGTGATGCTGCCACTCTAAGTTCTGGTTCCAGCTCTACTTCTAAGCATATAAAACTTGGGAGGCAACAATTTCTAGTTTTCCAGTTTTCTATAAAATTAGAAAAATGGTACCTTTCCATACTACCTCAGAGTTAACACTTGGGTCAAATCAGATAGTGGAGTTTAAAAAGCATTAAAAATAATTAAAAAGTATTATTAGTAATTATTAGTAATAATTATTAGCATTAATATAAACATTATGATGTGAGGAAGAAAGGCACAATATTGGTTAAAACAAAGCAGATACAAGGACAATTTGCCTCTTTCCATGCAGAGAGATGGCCATAGCTCTCTGACTGCTTTGTTTTATGTTTGGCTATTCTACATTCATATTTGAAAGTTTGTTTTCAATTAAAAACTATAACTATCCATAGTTGATTTCCATTTAATAATGCTTTTTTAAAAAAAGGACATCTGTCATTTAAAAAAAATATTTTTTTCCCTCTCTAGGGTAGTGGGTTTGGGGTTTCAGATTCCACTGAGAAGAAAACTATGAACTCATTGAACAAAAAAAATCTATGCATACTTACGTGGGCACATGCACTTACAGACGCACAATAATAAGACAATTTAGATCAAATCTGGGGAGTGAGATGTATTTTATATGAAAACTTTCAAGAATCTCTTTTATATTCTTTTTATTTATGTCTATATTGATTTCTACTATCCTCCCTAAGATGGAGACTCAATCAGTTAATAATGTTCGTAGGAATTTTCCTACAAAGAAACAACACCTATTTTGTAACACTAAGATATATGTTGATATATAGTTTGTGCTCAGGTGTAAAAGGCCTCAGCCTCCCCCCCCCACCCCCCACCCCCTGCAACAAAGGATAAGTTTATCTTGATTGCCCCTTCTTAATTGGGAGTTAAGTTTCCTCTAAACATGGTAAACTATTTTGGTGTTATTTTCAAAAAATTAATTAGGAAGTTCTATTATTTTGGATTCACAGTCTGGTCCACCTATTTATCCCCTTACTTATTCACTGGTCTGCTTGGTAATACTTATAAACACATAATGGACAAATAATGTTTCAGCTCCTTAACCTCCCTGGCCACATGAATTTACCCTGGTTTAGTCTGAGTTGTCTTGTTGACTCTTTCTGTATTTCTCTCTTCTAAGATCATGAGTATAATCATTTTCATATTTCAGCTTTTCTAAATATTTTATACTAAACTATATGTTTACATTGGCAGTTTTCTTCTTCAGAGTAACTATTAAAAAATTTACCTTAATCATAACCTCTTTAAGGGATAATTAAAGTATTCTATTTTTTTCCCCACTGATCTTACTTGTGCAGTCTCTGCATGTTCCAGCATCTCTTCAAATTCCTGATAGTCTTCATCATCTGGTTCAGCACCTGAGAGGCGAGCTGCCCTGGCCATAAAATATGGAGGCAGCTCTCCGATCGCTGTACCAATACCCTACGTAAAAAAACCAAAATACTTACATGAGATTTTCTCAACACAGTGATACTAAGCGGATCAAATCTTTATTTTTCAATATCAACAAAAGCATGTTAAGATGCATGTATTAGGGAGGAAAAGATATATTACACAATCAGGAGGACATGAGTTTAAATCATACCCTAATACCAACCTACACAATACCAAGCCAGATAACATACATAAAACTCTTAGACAATCCCTGGTACGCTGCAGACACTAAATTAATGTTAGTTCTCTAGCATCTCTACTTATATCCTCTGTTCTTACTTTTTACATTTCTTTTCATTTTATTAAGTTTAGAAATAGCAGGGGTGGGTGGGATGAATTGGGAGATTGGGATTGACATATATACACTATTGATACTATGTATAAAATAGATAACTAACGAGAACCTACTGTATTGCACAGGGAACTCTACTCAGTGCTCTGTGTTGACCGAAATGCGAAGGAAATCCAAAAAAGAGGAGATATATGTATACGTACAGCTGATTCACTTTGCTGAAACAACACAATATTGTTGTGTTGGGATTAAAAACCTACATTAATTTGAAAGCTAATAAATCTGTCAGAGAATAAGAAAAAAAAAACACACTAGTTTTTTTTTTTTTTTTAAACTGCACAGTGACATTTATTGTTTCAGCCTGGAAAAACATCCCTTTTTTAAATTTCACACAGCAAAGCAAGTTAAAAACTTCACTTGCCAAATAAATGATAATTTAAACAAGAACTTGGTAAAGAAACAGCAGAAACTAACACAATATTGTAAAGCAACTATACTCCAATAAAAATTTTAAAAAAAAGAAATAGCACATGGTTTTCTAGACTTTTGAAATGTTATTTCTTTTTTTTTATTGAAGTATAGTTGATTTATAATATAATATTAGTTTCAGGTATAAAACAGTTATTCAAAATTTTTATAGGCTATACTCTATTTAAAGTTATTATAAACTGTTGGCCTATTTTCCTTGTAGCTTATTTATTTTATACACAGTAGTTTGTACCTCTTAATCCCCTATGGCTATCTTGTTCCCTCCTCCCCACTTCCCTCTCCCCAATGGCAACCACTAGCTTGTTCTCGGTATCTGAAATTCTGTTTCTGTTTTGTTATAACCACTCATTTGTTTTAGTTTTTTAGATTTTATATGTAAATATATATATATATACATACACTGTTATTTTTGTCAGTTCCCCCCTTTTCAAATATCCAAATGATTTGCTAATGAGCATTCACAAGTATAGCTGTTAGATATATAGGAAACCTTCTGATATTGAGGATGTTGTTTTAATCCCAATACAACTTTTTTGTTCAGAGTTAAAGCTTTTAACACACTGTGGTCAGGAAGCCCCTTGAAATCTCAACATTAGGATGGATAAATTTTCACCACAGAAAAAATGTTGATTTCCTCAGGACACTGAGTGATTCATGTTTCAGTCACTTTGTGGATTCTTGTTTTTGAAGAGAATTTTTTTTTTAAATCAACTTAGAACATAAGGATGAAAACAAAGGTAAAAGAATCAGGAACTTGGTTTGGACATATACGGCTTAAATACAGGATAGATAATAATGCAAGAGGCCTGTAGTCTCTGGGAGAATTCTTAACTTTGAGCTATGCTTCTCTGCCTTGAGTCATAGTGAATGAAAAAGCTTTGGTAGTTTTCAGAAGCAACTTTAGGCTTTACTGTTTGCTATGTCCTATGGCTCTGCCTGCAAATGCCTTGACAAAAATCCCCAAGGGACATTATGAAATTCAAACATTTTACAATCACAGTGTTATACTCCAGTGTGTGAAATCAATCATCTCCAAGTGTAACTGCATTATCCACATGTGAACCAAGAGTTATGAAAAGAACATACTTAAGTGCCAAAAGAATAAGACCATATTTAGTTAAAGAACAGAGAGAAGAGGGAGAGGGGAGATATATATATACAAAGAAAGATATAGGAAGAAAACACAAATCATATTTTGCTAAACAAGAGAAGTTAATTTAGTCACCTTTGGAGGATGTTAGAGAACCAACTAATTATTTTAAAAACTGGTAAATAAAGAGAAACAATCAATTATTTATCCTGTCTTACCTATATGGAAGATATCTCAGGATAACCAAATTGGTGATAAGGAGAAGTTTCTCTTTATAAAAGTATTCCAGTCAGTAACTAAAGAAAAAAATGATGCAACTGGAATGCCCCCATTTTATAAACCCTAGTAAAATAATGGACTTATATAATAATGGTGTTAATATCATAAACAGAAAGACAACCAGACATTACTGCACTTCGTGATAGAATACGTAAGACTATAAAGTGTATTCTTGTAAAAAAAAAATTTTTTTTTTCAAGCCTCTCAACCCAGCTATCAATTCACAGGAAACAAAGAAACATATTTAAATTACACCAACTGGAATACAATCAGTAAAATTCAGACTGTGGAAAACTATACTTGACAAACAATCCAGTTTCATCAACGAATATATTTGAAAAGAAAAACAAAGAAATAAACACAATCAGAAAAATCTGAACACTAACTGGGTAACTAATTTGAAGAGACTATTCCTAAATTCTCTTCGGCGTGACAATGTTTTTTAAGTCCTAAGGTTGATATAGTTACAGATAAAATATGATATGTTACCTGGAATATGCTTCAAGATAATTGTGAGCAGCGTGAGGAGGGGTCTAGATGAAAGTATTAGCCAGGAGTTAATATTAGCGGAAGTTGGGTGATAATATATTGAATTAATTATATAATTCCCTCTACTTAAAAAAATTTTTTCATGACAGAAAGTAGGAAGAAAAGTTAATTGCAACATTTTATTCAAAACATAAACTTCTCTTAAAACATGTTAAGTCAAATGTTCAATAGTTCTGAAAGCAATCATATGATTCAAACTCATGACAAGTTTCCCTAAAGTTAAAAAGGAAGTAATAGTGGATTGAAATGAAATCAAGAGCTACGTACTGTATCATACTTAGTTGACCATATTCATTGTTATATTTTAATTCTGTCCATGTTTTCCCATATTAGCAAGGAGTAAGAATGGTGATCATGAGCCAGTGTTCTAATTTTTATGCATATAAATAAAAAGAAAATATAGTCATCCAGACAGGTCCCCTTAAGACACATTATATTCCAGACACAGAAGTTTGTTTAGTCAGTTATCTCAAATTAGATACTGAAGTCCCATAATTTCATGATTCTTACAAAACAATTTTATAATTCTTGCAAAATCAACATAAAAAAACAAAACTAAACTGTGGAACACTAAAAGCTGTCAGCCCAAGTTTAATTAAGGGGAAGAAATGACTGGCTTCCTTATTGCAAAAGAAAGACAAATGGTATTTAGTCAAGCAATAATTCAGAAAGCTCTTCTAAAAACTGTCCATGCATATCAATTTATTACCCTGAAGTCCTTGCTTCTTGAATTGGAGAAGAGTTTAATATGCACAAAATATGCAAAACCAATAGAGAAACACAATATCTTACTGGAGTGTCAATTTTATTAAAAGATTTTGGGAGGACAAAAATCCTAAATTTTTGTGCTTTCAAAAGTTTTGTCAACTGGATTCACAGGTAAATCACCAGCATCTTGCTTTTCTATGTTACGAACTGTAAGTTTAATGGTAAAAATCTGGGGAGTAGAAAATTTTACATATGCTGACTACTCAGAAATTACAGTAGTTTGGTATTATCAGTGTGTTAATAATCTTTAAAAACAAAACCATTTTCTATTAAATATTCCAACTGCAAACATGAAACAGAGGTTAGAAGCCAAAGTTTGGAGGGTAACTTGGAACCACTGAGAAATTCAAGGCTTTTACAGCAATGTTTAAAAAACAGTTATACCGGGCTTCCCTGGTGGCGCAGTGGTTGAGATTCCGCCTGCCGATGCAGGGGACACGGGTTCGTGCCCCGGTCCGGGAAGATCCCACATGCCGCGGAGCGGCTGGGCCTGTGAGCCATGGCCGCTGAGCCTGTGCGTCCGGAGCCTGTGCTCCGCAACAGGAGAAGCCACAGCAGTGAGAGGCTCGCGGACCGCAAAAAGAAAAAACAAACAAAAAAAACCCCACAATTATACCAATTCTAGTAAAATTAGCAGATTGTTTTACAATCGAAAAAAGAGAGAAAATGTGCTTCCAGTTTCCCTTAAGGTCAGTTTTAAACTGACTTCAGAAAGGAATGAAGTTCTGATACATGCTACAAAATGGATGAAACTTGAAAACATTATGCTAGGTGAAATAAGCCAGACACAAACGGACAGATACTGTATGGTTCCATTTATACTGGATATCAAGAATAGGCAAATTCACAGAGGCAGAAAGTCGAGAGGTTACTCTCTCCCCAGGGGCTGGGGAGAGGAGGGAATGAGGAGTTATTGTTTAATGGGTACAGAGTTTCTGTTTGTGGATGACAGAAAAGTTCTGGAAGTAGATATTGGTGATGGTTACACAACACTGTGAATGTACTTAATGCCAGTAAATTGTGCACTTAAACATGATTAAATGGTAAACTATGTTATGTACATTTTACCACAATAGGAAAAAAACTCCCAAAAAACAAAACCATGAACTTAACAAATAATTGAGTTTAGGGACTTCCCTGGTAGTCCAATGGTAAAGAATCCGCATTATAATGCAGGAGACATGGGTTCGATCCCTGCTCAGGGAACCAAGATCCCACATGTTGAGGGGAAACTAAGCCTGTGTGCCACAACTAATGAGCTTGTGAGCCTCAACTACACAGCCCATGTGCTCTGGAACCAACAAGCCACAACTGCAGATCCCACATGCCCTGGAGCCTGCGTGCCACAACTAGAGAAGAGAAAACCCAATGCTACAACTAGAGAGAAGCCCACGTACCGCAACGAAGAGCCTGCATGCCTCAACAAAAGATCCCGCGTGCCGCAACTAAGGACCGACATAGCCAAAAATAAATAAAATAAATAAATAATAAAATAAGTCTTTTAAAAAAAAAGAAAATAAA